GCGCCATCCAACACACTACACTCAACGGATCTTGCAATATATTCAAATTCTCCAACTCAAAAATCAGTGCCCAAACAGTATAACGTTTCCCTTACTTCACATGAAATGTTTACTTTTGATACATCGCACAGAGGACTGGTGATGTGAAAGTTCTGAGTTTTCCCTTGTGAATCCAGTTGGATAGTTCAGATGTTTGTGCGGCACAATTTTTGGCAGAATGCAGTTGAGAGCGCGACAAAACGATGTTCACACAATGCGTTTAAGCGAGAATAGTGTATGACAATAAGCACTTTTCACTAACAACTAATTTTGAGTTGAGAACTAACAGGGGAACATCGAGATGTGAAGTAATGAAGCCAACAAGTGTCAAACGTTCGTTTTCACCTCGAGCATCGGATAGCTGAGCGTCTGATCGGGCTGATAGGCTTATTATCTTCACTTCAATGAGAATCGATGTTCACATTGGAATTGCGTGTCACAATCCAATCACACAACGTGTACTTCAAATTGACCCATACATCAAGCTTACTGGTCTTTAACGTGGTGTGACGGTTTGCGTACCTCCTTGACCCATTGAGCTATACTGGGTGGTGCCTCCGGACACCTTGAGAGCTACTCCTACCAGGTTGGTCAATGTTGAGAGGTCCGACAAACTCAGTCTCTTGGTCCTCCAGGTTGGGGGTTTGAAATGGAATGGCGTCCATTTCTGTAAAACTAAATCATTGCCACCTCCCCGCTGCTTTGCGGACAGGCTTTTGAGCCAAAGGCTTTGGATGAGGACCCTAATCGTCCTCCTGTCTAGGTCTGGGCGCCCTGGCAGTATCTCAGCCCACATACAACCATGACATTTTCTTCAAACATAAACTTCATCCTTCATCGGCCGTCGCGCAGATTATCAAGGGTCGCCTTATCTGCTGCATACATCAGGGCGGATAAGCGAAAACATGCTACTGCTGGCGCCTCCCTTCTTTCTTTTCCACCTGTTTCTCTTACTCTTATCCCGAAACCCATTACTAACCTTCCCTCTATAATTCCCAGCTTAATTGACAGCAACCGAATTGCCACTGGAGTAGAACCATCTGCAGCCACCGGAGACACCGGACGCCTATCACCAACAGTCCCTTATAAGACCACGCTATCCCGTTTCCATGGCAACATTCAACGTTCACACTTTAAGACAAGCAGGTCAACTGGCTGCACTCGCACTTACCTTGGACACACTGGGTATTGATGTGTGCTGTGTGTCCGAAACTAGGATCAATGACCCTAACGGGGTTATTGAATTAACTGCACCCGGCTTATCCTCTCGTTATTGGTTGCACGCATTCGGAGACGCTGATGCAGCACTCACGGGTCAAACTGGTATAGGTATCATTCTAAGCTCCAAGGCTGAGTCATTGTTGGTTGATTGGATTCCGGTGAACAGCCGTTTATGTACAGCCCGTTTGACGACATCTGGTAAGTTTAATACAGGAAGTAGTGCAAAACGCTGTTTGTTTGTGATTTCCGTTTATACTCCTACCGACTACAATTTAAATGCTGTCAAGGACATATTCTATCACAAACTGAACACGCTACTACGCAGTGCTACTAGTTCAGATATTATAGTACTTGTAGGGGATATGAACGCACAAGTAGTGCGTCTGAGCTCTTCAGAAGCTCAACTGGGTGGTAATTGTGGGCTTAACTCCGAACGGACTGACAACGACGAGCGTCTGCTGCGACTATGTGCGGAGCACCAGTTGTTTTTTAGTAGCACTGCATTTAGATACAATGGGTGCCGAAGTGCCACTTGGCGTCCTCCTGTAGCTGGCCAGCAATGGACCCAAATTGACCACATAGGCATAAATTATAGGTGGCGTGGTTCCATCCTGGATTGACGCTCGTACTGAAATACCTGCATCGACTGTGATCATGCCTTGGTACGCTGTCGTTTCTCCATGAGCTTTACCGGGAGACGCACCAATCGTCTCCTCCGATTGGCAACTGAGCAATTGTCTCATCCCTCGGTCAGGCAAGCCTATCAAGACGCACTGCGTACCGAACTTTCGCTGTCTTGTTCTGATGACACTGAGTTTCAGTGGAATAGGACCTTGGCCGCTATGCACGACGAGGAGCATCTGCTTGTGGCACTATCCATCTTCACCGCACCAGTCACTGGATATCCGAGAGGTCGGTAAACTTATTGGAATCTAGAAGAAACCACCCGGCTGACTCTCAGTACAATGTGACCAGACGGACTATTAGTCGTGAACTACAGCGGAACTTATGTGCTGACAAGGAAGCTTGGTGGACCAGTAGGGCTCAAGAAATGGAGGAGGCAGGAGCAGTAGGCAATTATCGCAAACACTTCCAGCTGCTCCGCACCACTGGTCCCAGGAAACCAGGCGTCAGTGAGACGATCCGAGACAGTGCGGGTGTGCTGATACACAGTAAGGAACGCCGTATAGCTCGTAGGGTGGAACACATTCAAGATCATTTCAGTTGGTCCCCTACTCAGGTGATGCAGGACAAGCCATGGATGGTTAGTTTGGAGCCTCCGTCGGAGACCGAGGTCCGAAACACGATCACAGCTCTCAATCGTTTTCGTGCAGCTGGCCCGGATTCCCTCCCACCTGCACTATTTAAGCATGAAGGTCAAATCCTCTGAAAAGCACTGACCTCCTTATTCGAATTTATCTGGAAGGAAGTGTCCCGTTTAATTGGAGCGAATCGATTATAGTGGCAATATACAAGAAGGGCAGTCGCACAGACGGTTCTAACCAAAGGGATATTAGCGTAACGCTAGTTGTGACAAAATTGCTGGCCTCGATTATCGTCCTTCGCCTTATTGGGAATCGGGAATCTCGGATTAGGGAAGAGCAGGCCGGTTTCCGCCCAGGACGTGGCTGTATAGACCATATATTCACTTTGCGGCAGGTGCTAGAGCTGCGCCTTGCATACCGCAGACCGACAATTGGTGTGTTCCTTGATTTCAAGAGTGCGTTTGATTCAGTCTATCGATTGATCTGTTCGAAATACTTGCGCGGAAAGGTGTTCCCACGAAATATGTGAACCTCTTTCGTGCTCTGTACTCGAACACTACAGGCCGCGTCAGGGTCTACGGTGTCCTATCGGATAGCTTTCCGACCACAAGTGGCATTCGTCAAGGTTGTCCGATTTCCCCATTTTTCTTCAATTTCGTCGTGGATTCTATCATGGAATGTTCCCTTGCGGAATCTCACGATGTAGGCTTTGAAAAGCTAGCTGGTGTAAGCTTAGTTGATCTTGATTATGCGGAGGATATCGTCTTGTTTTTCGACGGTGTTGCGCCGGCACTCTCACCCCTAAATAGCCTGTCTCGAGTGGTCCCATTATTTAGTATGCACTTCCCACCTACAAACTGCTAAGTGTTGCTGCAGGACCACCATCCACTTTATGACCCCTTGACGATTACTAACGAGGAACTCAAGGTAGTTGATCAATTCGCTTATCTTGACAGCTGCATCAGCAGCGATGGGTGCATAGAAACTCACGTCAGCTCACGCATTGCAAAGGCCAGAGCTGCCTTCTTTAACCCTTTGGCATCTTTGACGACAGAAGGGTGTTTCCCTCCTTCTGAAAAACCGTGCATACAAGGCCACAGTGAGGGCGGTTCTGCTCTATGCTAGTGTAACTTGGTCCCTTCGGTCTGAAGATCTGAGGCATCTTCAAATCTTTGATCATCGTTGTCTGCGAAACATTGCTGGTGTCGGATGGTACCAGCGTGTCCGCAACGATGATGTGCGTAGGGGAGTGCTAGGTAGTGATAATCATGCTAGCTCTCGAGAACAACAGCTAGCACTGAAGAAGTTGCGTTGGCTCGGTCAGGTGCTACGTATGCCTGGTCACCGCTTACCTAGGAGGGCCTTGTTTAATCGGTCAGGTGAAGGGTGGCGCAAGACTCGAGGTGGACAGAAGTTGGCTTGGCAGCAGGAAATGAAGTCACTGACGACCAAACTGGGTGCCGTTGGTCCGTCTCGCCCTCCGGGCTGGAGTTCACGTGACTCACCTTGTGCTTGTCTACAGACTTTAAAGGACATGGCTCGCAATAGACACCAGTGGCGCGTCTGCTGCCGTCTAATCGGATTGCCTGTTTAAAGTGTGTTTGGTGCTGAGTTATCTGCGGAGTAATGGCTGATTATGATGCGGGGCAGTGAAAGCCGCAAGGAAGCTGTCTCGCCGATGCCGCCTTATCTTTGCACGATAGCCAGCTGTTTGTGACAGTATGTTGTCTACACATGGTGTAGGCGCCTTGACCCTGAATGTTTGGTTAGGGCATTAAGATTTTCCTGTAAGTCCCCCTTCTCTCCATCTTATTATTATTATTCCTTAGATCATCATGGTTGTATGGCAGCAAAGCATCAGTTCAAATGGCTGATGTACTGCTGTTGATGATAATGATGATGATGATTGAATACACAACTGGCAGAGTACCACAACACATAAGTGTTACGTGGGCAGTGAGGTCCCTGGTTACCCAGGCCGAGGAAATGGGTTGCCTTAAGGGACTACTCCAAGCCTCTTGTCTTTAAGTAATAACCCGCATGACAGCGGGTTTCTGAATACGATGATTGTTGACAATCTGCTGGCTCATTCGCCTTCTTTGAGTTCGGATACAGCTCACAGAGAAACTGGGGCCGGCTAGATTGTTCATCCGCCCTCCGTTAGGTACCCATCTCTGGTTGCAGTGACCCTGTAACTTGTCACTGGCTTTTGACGCAGCGCCATACCAACTCTTGTGGTATTTGGTGGAGAACCAGGTGACCAACCCAGAACTCCCCACACTGAGATGCTGCCACTGATTGTCCACGGCTTCAAAGCAGACGAAACTTATTCGCAGTTACATACACAAGGAAGGCATTCTCCGTCTGCAACCTGTGGATGCGCCCGATAGCGTACGGCTCTGCCATGGGACTAAGTTGGGGTGATAACAGCAACTAACTGTTTTTGATCTGTTTACTTTATATTGCAGCCCCATAGGTCTCACACGACCTGATTCTCTCGCATTGATGCACCGGAACTCGTGAGCACGGACAGAACACGTACAACAATTGCCAATCATTTTACTTACCTGAATACCCACCCTATTCCCTAATATGTCGGATCCTGCAGGAGAGGCACATTCCACGAAAAAATGGAGAAATTCCTGTTTCATATTGCTCAAAGCACACGACAACGGCTGGAACACGCCGAAGCCAGACCTTCGTGATTTGTTACAATATTTTTACGAGATCAGCAGTAAAAGGTTACTTAGTATTCGCTCATTACTTACTTGCTGTTGCAGAGTTGAACTGCCGTTTCCTTGTAAGGAATCACGCAACTCGTTTTTACTGTTATCTTGTTGGACCTTCATCAAAAATGTTCCACATCTCTTCCCGTTACGTATTATCCAAGGCTGTTTTGAAAAAGCCATTCACGCTTTGGTTTTCTATCTTCTCGATGAGCTTGAATCCCGATGTTTATCTGACTTGGTAAGTTTAGTTATATCTGTGAAATGACGCCCATTATATTGCATGGGTTGTATTCATGTGTTGGCATCTTTCACCCGATGTTGCGTTTATAACACTTGCCGATATCTGAAATACTCAATACTCGCAGTACCTGATACGCTGCTCATCATTCCGATGGACCCAACAATTCTCACAACCATTCAGACGACGTACGTCCTCGACTTCGCAATGCACACTGCCAATGGACAATCGCATATCATGACAAATCGCGCCACATGTGACTATTTTGGAATGAAAAGCTCCCGTAGAATGCATAACCAGAGTTACTATTGCGCTTTGGCGTGTTCTGGTGTCTTCGCGTATTTCATACACCCACGGTAATAAAAGCTTTTGCAGATGCATTGGCAAGTTAGCTCCGTTTGTGCGCGGTTACCTTTGGGATGTGACCGTGTATTACATCTGTGCGTACTTCCTTCCCCACTGAATGCTTAACTATCAGAAACTGAATGGAACACCACTAATAATTTTTCAAGTTAAACATGAGATTTTACATAGAAACGCGAAAATAATGTTAACAGTCGTAAAATACCTTATGTTATCTTGCTTATGAGGTAACAACTTTTCGTTGCCAGTGTTTTGGGCATCTGTGTAAATCAGGGTGATTTCAATAACACACACGCAAGTTATCAGCTTCGATACGATTCAAAACCAGCAATCAGAACAAATGAAACTCAAATACGTCCTCAGTCAACTTCAAAATGGTAACATCTAACTTTTAGCAGGAATCGCGCTTCAGTTATTACTCAATAAGACCAGACAAAACCGGGTATCTGAGATGATTAAAGTTTCAGCTTACGCGTTTACAATTATCAGGGAATAGCTATCAGTTCTGACTCAATTCAGTTAAAAAGTCTTCCTTATCACTTCTACAAAGCTGATACATGCGGTTAGGAAGAAACTGCATTGCTACATTTGCACACAACGCGTTCTGTAGGAATGATTCACTGTATGATATACCTGTGCCCCATGCTGAGCCTGATGTTTCACTCTTGATGCTTCTTCACCGCAGTTGGGCTAAACCAACTTACACTTAAACTAGGTCTTTTTAAGCTGGATAAATTTCATTCCACTTTATTTGGTTTGTTCTGCCTACCAGAATAATCTATTAACTGGCCACGTTGCTTACGCTAATTGCGCTTATCTTCGATAAATTGTTGCGTTTTTAGCATTTTTAAGTAACTCGTGGACATTTCTTACTTATCGCGGATTTGTTGCTGACCAACCTACTTCATATGGTAATTTAGCGAAGAGTTATGCCACCGTATCTATATGCATTCTTGGATTTATTTTATTTCATGTTGTCGTTTGAAGTGATTAGCTGTTGCTTGATATCCCGGTGTGGCTGCGCTTTGTGTGTTGACAAGGGGCGTACCTGTCTATTACCCACTACATCGTTCATACTGGCTCCAGGAGACAGTTGGTCGTTGCTGGAGGGGACGGGGTGCACGGCCCTTGTGGCCGTGCTAGGCTCGAAGAGTGGTTCCATACACTCAGTGTGGAGCGGACTACGGTCCAGCCACCGCCTTGTGTGCGCTTGATTTCCCAACTACAACGTGCTTGTGTTTGCCTGTGAAGGAGTGTGGGTCGGATCAGTTGATGTAACGTGGCTCCTATTCACATGCCTCCCGGTGTTATTCCTTCGGGTTTACACTGCATATGGGGTATGTGGTTGGAGCTGTGGGTGGTGCAGCGTAAGCCACCCATTGTCCCTCTGTAGGCGCAGGCGTCTTGTGGCTGGCCACAGTGACAGACAAATCCGAAACCAGAGATGCTGCCAACCATGATATACCTGTTTCGCCTGTCCGTTTAAAATAATCTGTTTTTGGCGCATTTTTATTGTACTATCATTATACGCACAGTTGGGTTAATTTCTCGCGTCTGTAGTTATCTGTTGGTACCTATCCCATTTAGAAAATTTTCACATATATATCACAGAGAGTTACATACGGACTAGAACGCGCCGACAAGGTGATATACAATCTTCTCAAATCTTTAAATTGTACGGTGTTGGTTTCAGGTAGTGCTTATAGTATCCGGTTTGTAACGTCTGGAATTTCTCCCAAACTGCCATCTTTTCCGAAGTTCAAATGTGTGTTTACCTTAAATTCCGTTACATGACAATGCACTCTTCATCTCTTTTGCTGGGATGATGTGAGATAATAAATATTTATTAACCACCTTTACATTTCAGTAGAAATTTATGTGCTTGCCACGGCCACATGTTATCATTTCTACCTTTGCATCTGCATTAACGTTCTGAAGTCCTTTAGTAGCAAAGACAGAGAAGGACGTACTAGTAACATTGGTACGTTTGCTAAAGATACCACTGCCAGTGTTTCGGGATCAAGGTACGCAGCTGCGGTATCGATTTAATACGTTCTTAGACTGAGTGCACATTTCACCTTTTCACACGTAGCTTGGTTTACATCATCATTGCTAGACCAATTGCTACTTCCCAAAATGTAAATCGAGAAATAATAGATTGGAATTTTACTCCCAAGTCAGCACCTCGCTATGATGATTACTGTCGCGGTCGAACGAATCGGTCAACCGGTTGGTGATAATTCCATGGGCAGATTAAAAGTGGTTCGGCCCAGTATTAACGGGGCTCAGCGTTGTTCCAAACAAATGAATATGGGATTGCTCGAGCAACAACGAATAAGGGGCAAGCATGTTCTAATACATTTGAACGGACGGTGCAGAGTGGAAGTCAAGAACTTGCCAACCGAAGTGGTCAACAACAGTGATTCCGCGCTCCGGATTTGATTGCGGTATAAACGATCGCTCCGTTCAGATATAACAAGGCTTTGCTCGGTGTCTGGAAGTCTTTTTTCGATAAATGTCCTGGTTTACAATTCCTCCGTTTAAGCCATATAGCTGTATGCAAGTAAATCATCACAACATCGTGTGGATGACATGCGCCGTCTGTCGGATTTTGATCATTGGTACTTAAAGAGGATTGTCCAACTTCCCTGGCAAAAATATTCCCGTGGTGACATAGTTTGGCGTCTTGCCTTGGGGAACACGAGTGTTCCCTACAGCAAGGTGGTTTTTCCGCAACAATTGAGATGACTTGATCACGTCTTACTATTACTGTCGAATGGTTTCTCCAATCGTGCTCTGTCCGCTCGTACAGAACTCAGTTGAAAGAGACCTTATGGTAGCCAGTCTTCCACCTAGCGACAACATGAAATCGCTGACTTCATATCTAGCCGCCGTTGAATCCATACGAACGGATTTCTGGAGATCCAACGAATAGAAATGCTGATACTCGAAACGGTTCAAGATATGTCCGGCAACGGAAATAAGCCATGGTCCATGCTTATGGTACTTAACTTGAAGCGAATAACTTATCCTTTCTTTTTCGACCCATTGATTGATTAAGTGTTGAAACGGTTTGCTTGAGACAATAGTCCAAACGAACTTGGTGTCGGAATTCAAGCAATTCTCTTGATGCTCAATTCGCAGCTTACATATTTAAAGAGCGCATCGCACATGAACAGGACGTAGCACAGACGAACTAGATTGACAGTGCACAGTAATAAGTGACGTTACTCCACTTGACTGTCCGATGCCATATCGATGAGGCGAAATTGGTGTATATCTTCCGGCTCTCTGTTTTTCAGTATTCACTTTCTGTTGGTTGCCATGGTTTGACTGATGTATGGTTGGCAGGATCCGGTTCCAGATTTATCTTTCACTATGGCCTGCACGAGAACGCCTGCGCCTGCAAAGGGACCATGGATGACTTGCGTTGCGCCACGCACAGCTCCACTCACACATCCCATATTCAGTGTAAGCCTGAAGGAATAAGACTGGGAGACTTGTAGATGAGAATCGCGTTTCATCAACGGAGCCGGTCCACACTCCACAGGCAAACATAAGCGTGCTGTATTTAGGGAATCAAGTGCACACAAGGTGGTGGTAAGGACGTAGCCCCCTCCACACACAAACCACGTGCATTGAATCACTCTTTGAGCCTAACACGGTCACGAGGACCGTGCACCCCGTCCCCTCCAATAATGGCCAACTGTCTCCTAGAGCCGGTATAGCCGAGGTGGTGGGTAATAGCCAGGTAGGCACCTTGTCAACACACACACATCAATCGCAACCACACCGGGGATATCAAGCAACAGCCAGTCACGTGAAATGACAATATCAAATGAAAGAATCAAATAAAGCATACGGATACGCCGAGTTAATTCTTTATTAAATTAACATACGAGATAAATGTGCCATCAAAGTACCCGCGATAACTTCAAAATGACAGAAAAGGAGATCAAAAATATCACAAACCCGAATAAAATTAACGAAATCAATCACCTTTCGTTTAAGCGACGTGTGCAAGTAAATAAATTATTCAGATGCTCATTAAAATGAGACAGCAAGGTAGATATTAACAAAATACAGCAAACTGATCACCTGAATTGAAGCAACTCAACACACAGTCACACGGCTAGTAATTCGAATGCAGCGTATCTACCAACGCTACGCCGGTTCTGCTTACGTTCGCAACAGTACCCATCGTCGTTTCCATGCTGGTCCCGAGTGATCTCGGTCGTGGCTCACTTGGCCTGCCTGCACTCGCGGCCGCATGTGCTACAGAACCATGCCCTCGAGGTAGATGGAGTACAACCCATCGGCGCCTGCCGCTTCCGCACTTGCCGCTTTTTCTCCGTATGCAAGAAGGCTTTCTCCTGCACCTCGGCAATGACCTTCGTGATCAGATCGCGCCATGCATGTCGATCAACTGCCTTCGGTTCCCAACACCTGAAATCAACAGTACAACGTGATACTCTCACCTTAATCATGTCCTGGTAACGAAGCTTCGGTTTCCAAACATGTCGCTTCCCCATTCTCAGCTGACCAAATAACAGCTGCCTCAATATCACGTCGAATCCATACGTCACACATGACCGAGCCACCTCAGATGTCTCAACAAGAGTATGCAGTCCACCGCATACATTCCACTTCGGTGCAACACAGTGCAACTCTGTCGCCTCAATCGATGCGTAGAATCCGTCGCAAACACTGCCGAAACCGCTCGAGATATCTCACATCTCGCCGGTGCATCGCCCATGTTTCGCTGCCGTGTAGAAGAACGGACAGCACCATTTATTTGTAGACCGTCAGTTTTGTGCCAACTGTAAGCCAATGGTTGTTCTACACTCGGTACTCAGGCTTCCCGAATGCCGCCGCTGCCTTCGAGACGTGGATACGAAGCTCACTATGTAGCTGCTGGTCGGTCGACATCACTCTCCCAAGGTAGCAGATGCGGGATGGGTTACCAAAACATCATCACAGATGCTAATTTGCGGCTCAATTGCAGATTGCACGTCCGTTGAAGGCTGAAAGAGACAGACAGTTTTGTTTGTGTTGATGGTGAGCCCGAATTTAGCCGCTGTCGAAGCCAGAACACTAGTCGTGTGCTTCAAGTCAAACGCGCTGTGTGCAGACAACGCACACTCGTCGACAAACAGCAGCATACGGATGCTTGTCTCACACACTATAGTTACTGCCTCGAAACGATGGATGTTCATTGACGCAACATCAATCCGCTGCTCCACAAAGACAAAGTAAGCATAACGCATCAAATGCACACGACACCATGGCATGAAGATAAATATTAAACAAAGCAGGAGCTAAGACACTGCATTGCTTCGCACCAGAGACCACTGCAAAGTCATCCAAGGTTTGTCCACACAGCTGCACCTTCATTCGTATACTACTGTGCAGACATTCAATTAAACTTACAAACTTACTGGGACGGTCAAACTAACCCAACACCAGCCATAATGCCTCGTGATTCACAGCGCGGATGAGTTGCATCACATGAGTAGTGCTCTGGCTTCGACAGCGGCAAAATTCGCTCTCACCATCAACACAAGCAAAACTGCCTGTCTCTTTCAGCCTTCACCTGAGGTGCACTCTTCAATATTGCCGCGAATCAGCATTGGTGCTGAAGTATTAGAAACCACCTCCCGCTTTTGCTACCTTGGAAGTGTGATGTCGAATGATCACCAGCTACACAGTGAGCTGCGTATTTGCGTGTCGAAAGCAGCGGCGGCATACGGGAAACTTGAGTACCGAGTGTGGAACAACCATCAGCTTACCATTGGCACGAAACTGATGGTGTACAAATCCATGGTGCTGTCCGTTCTTCTATACGGCAATGAAACATGGACGATGTACCATCGGGATGTGCGATATCTCGAGCGGTTCCATCAGCAATGTCTGCGACGGATTTTGCGCATCCGTTGGGGCGACAGAGTTGCAGACACGGAAGTGTTGCGCCGATGTGGGATGTATGCCGTGGACTGCATACTTTTATTGAGACATCTGAGGTGGATCGGTCATGTGAGCCATATGGATTCGACGCGGATACCGAAGCCGCTATCATATGGGCAGCTGAGTATGGGGAAGCGGCACGTTGGGAAACCAAAGTTACGTTATCAGGACATGATTAAAGTGAGTATCTCACGTTCTAATCTTGATTGCAGATCATGGGAATCGAAGGCAATTGATCGGCGTGCATGGCGCGATCTGATCATGAGGTCAGTTGCCGAGGTGCAGGAGAAAGCCCTCATACATGCAGAGAAGAAGCGGCAAGCAACGATGGGTTGTTCTCCATCGGCATCAAGCGCATGGTGCTGTAGAACATGCGGTCGCGAGTGCCTGAGTCAGACAGGCTTAGTGAGCCATGAGCGAGGCCACTTGGGACCACTACCGAAGCAACGACGGGTACTGCAGAGAACGTAGGCAGAACCGGCACAACGTTTGTAGGTACGCTGCATTCGATTTAATAGCCGCGTGCTTGCATGCTAAGTCTCTTTATTTCAGGTGGTGGTTTTCCAGTTTTGTCTTATTGCCTTTCTCACATAAATGTCTAGTGAATCACCAGCGAGGCCACTCGGGACCACTAGCGAAGCGACGACGGGTCCTGCAGTGAAGTATTCAGAACCAGCGCAGCGTTTGTAGGCACGCTGCATTCGATTTACTAACCGCGTGATTGCATGCTAACTCCCTTTAATTCAGGTGGTGGGTTTTCAACTTTGCTTAAATGTTTTTCTCTCATATAAATGTATACCTGTACTCTATTCCATTAACTTGCACACCTCGCTTAAGCCAATTGTATTCGATTTCCGTAGCATTTTTGTGTTCATGGCATTCCGTAAAATATACTTTCTGGCATCGTGGACTTATCTAGGATTCGTTTGTAAACACCTTATTTCATATGCTCATTAACTTAAGGTTTATGTCACCGTTTCCTTATGCATTAGTCGAGTTGTTTTCTTTGTCTCTCTTTCTCTCTCTCAAGTGATAGGCTGTTGTTTGATATCCCCGGTGTGGCTGCGCTTAATGTGCATGTTGACAAGGTGCCTACCTGTCTATTACCCACTATCTCGTCCATACTGGCTCCAGGAGACAGTTGGTCGTTGCTGGAGGGGACAGGGTGCACGGTCTTTGTGGCCGTGCTAGGCTCGAAGAACGGTTCCATGCACTCAGTGTGGAGCGGACTACGGTCCAGCCACCGCCTTGTGTGCGCTTGATTTCCCAAATACAGTGTGCTTGTGTTTGCTGTAAAGGATTGTGGGCCGGCTCAGTTGATGAAACGTGGTTCCCATCCGCATGCCTCCCGGTCTTATTCCTTCGGGTTTACACTGGAGCTGTGGGTGGTGCAGCGTAAGCCACCCACGGTCCCTCTGTAGTAGCAGGCGTCCTGTGGCTTGCCACAGGACTTGCCACAGTACCTCGTGCATCTGATTCACAGTAAGTACCAGCTTTTTGTGTGGCTCAAATTGGGGAAATCTTTGAGCACTCATTACTTCTCTGTTCATGGACATTACATTCCCACTACATTGCACATCAACCTGTTTCACAGTCGCTCGTCTCTGGCTCACAGTTCTGTGAACGCTTCATCACTGTTTGTTTCTCGACCATCATACAAATTACTTCCTTATCCTAGGATTTCTGTTTAAGCTCTACACCAATTCTTCTTTCAGACCGATTTCCTGTTGGCTCTTCGAGCACTTTTCTATTGGGAGCAAGTTCCGTGTCCTCAATCGTGCACGAAGCATGCGTGTGCTATCAGACAAAACATTATGCCCTCTGACTCGACTGAAACGCAGGAAGTTCGGTTTCTCGTTTGTCCTGAAGATGTAAGCTTTCACGATTTTGTTTAATATGGGTCTATCACTCGTTAAGCGCCGAATTAGCGTGAGGTCGGATTTGTGTCTTTTTTATTTCCAAATCAGTTCATCTACTCTTACTTGTTTCCCGTTTAGACCTGAGTACAGTGGTGTTATCAAAGGAGTAGCATTTCCAAAGGTAATCCACTGCCTTTCAGCTTAAAATAATGCATTTATCTCGAGACTGGTGTAAACACTAACTAATCGCCACCCTTATTTGTCATGCCCCATCTGCTGTTACGCCCTTTGATCAAATGTCCTACAAAAACAAACGGCAGAGTTCTGCGTTACTTTAGGGGTTTAGACATTGACCTGTATAACAATTAAGAACAAGGTGTGGCGTGCAGCACTCTGCCATTTAGTTATGGTGTTCGTTACCATTAAGACGGGAAACAATTGTTTGGTCAAAAGCGGTCATTCTAGTGGAGCCTAGGAATTGGCGACCACGCTCCAACTATATCTGGCCCCGTTGATTTCTTTATATTTCGATTATAAAACTTGACAAGTAAGCGCGGAAGTGCTTTTGAGTCTATCTACACATAAATAAAGGCAAATTTTTAAACCAGCAATTTCTAAAATCCCTTGTTGCCCGCTCAGCTTTCCTTCTGTGCCAGCTATCTATACGCTTATGGTCCATTACTTCACATGTTTTATCGTTCTTTTTGCTGTTGCGCTCGATTTGTGACATCGCTTACCTTTTTCGATTTAGAAATCAGATGGCTCAGATTCAGAGTTGTGGGCGGTATTGAACACAGAATTATTACGTCAGCAAACGAGACGTCGCGCTATTGAGTTCACCATTCGATCATTCTTGATTCTTAACGGACCGTCCAGACTTGTGAAACGAGCCGAAGCGTTTCCAGACTTTTTCCCCCAGTGAGTAGGACTGTATTATGCATTTTTATGGTTATTACGAATGTAAGATTGTCATCGCGATTTAGTTTGGAGTCGTCCTCTCGAAACGTGATATGTGCTCGCTCAAGCGGTATTTTGTTTGTACAATCTGCCTGTTGCTGCGTAACGCACTCACGTCATTTGTGTAGCGTTCTATTGAGAACCCTTTCTGGTTAGCTACTATGAGTTATCAGCAGTCTCGGAATCCAGTCATTTTCTGGCACCGTTCTTTGACATGGTCCGAAAATACATGTGTGGGCAAAGGCCACCAATCTTAAGGCCCCCTGATACTTATCGTGATACGGTGTACTGACAGAATGAACGGTTAGATCCATGGAACTTGCAAAACAACAAGTGGGTGATGACCCTGACAAACTGGATCATCGCATGCAGCAGGTTTTCTCGTCCATCTGCATGGCTCCTCTTTCTGACCAGGGTTTCTTGTGCTCTAGAGAAATTACCAATCTTTTGATGATTTCAGAAGGTTTGAATACAATTCGGTTTTGCTAGGGTTTTATTGTGGCAACGTTTCGCCCTTGACACAAGAGCTTTTTCAGGCCAGTCTTTCTTTTTTTTACCTGAATCGAAGGAGGAACCTCATCTGCCCTGTAATATGCTCAGACAATACATATCGAAACATTGTGTGTTTCAAACGTTCGCTGACTTACTCTCGCGGACAAGTCATTTGTGCCTAACAAATCGACTCCTGCGTTTAGTGTTGGTCTTGCCGAGACTATAGTATTTTTTGCACGGATGATTTCCGAAAGCAGCCTTTTCATTCTTGCCACTCTGCAACTGTCCTAATGCAAAAATATTTACAACTGGATTTCGTACGTGGTCTCATCGTGTTCTTTCTTCCCTCTGTTCGGTTTCGCTCACCCTAGTTCTAGTAGGTATCTTTTGTGTTTCTCCCATGCTTCCGTTTGCGTAATCAGTGGTAGTTTCATCACACTCATTCGCTGCGTGCACGTCATCCGTCAGCTCAAACTACATTTCCCTAGAATGATTCCATCTGGAATACTGTTTAGTGGCCCATTAACTTGGCATTCCATTTTTTGACGATGACTTTTCATACTTGACAGGACGGAGGTCTCATTCAACGAAATGCTCGGTGACATTTTAATTTGACCCCATTAGTATATAGTCTATAAGTTTGCCTGTTAAAATGTGATGATATAATTACATTGCTGTTACTAATCATGTTTTCGATACCTACAACAGCAAAACCCTGTCCTCTTTATTGGATGATCTACGCATTTTTACACTACTGTCCACCACTATCCTCGCGTCTATGACTGATGTGGCTGATGTTTCTATGGAAGAAACCAGAGTGTCAGACGAACTTGACCTCCACCGATTACCGTCTTCCTCACGTCGTGCCGTTGAAAGCACCGAATCAATTATACTTCGCCTGAGTAAAAAGGGAGTACTACGTCTTCACAGTGTGTACACGTGGCTCATCTCAAAAGTTCCATCAGCGTTCCATCAACCAACGCAGTCAGATTGGACAGAGGCCTCTATCACGAACGTACTGAATGAGACTGTAAGTAACCTATGTTTGGGTAGGACACTACCAGTGCTATATGATTATTGAAGTGGTGACTTTCTTGTGATTGAATTAATGAATTCGTTCTTATTCTTGGTTACTTCACTAAGCCCATCACCCGACGTCGCAACGTCGCAAAACTTCCGCACGTCGTCTAACCTCAGTGTGCTGTGCAACATTTATACTGTACTGTGAGCTAAATTGTTCCATTCTCGGTGCTTTTTTGCTATGCTGAAGAAAAAAGCTGTTCATTTCAGCAGTGTTTCATCATAATTTTAATTACTCAGCCCCGGAGTTACAAACCATATATGCTTATTTCTTTTTTTTCTCACCTTTTATATCACTTCAAGGATTTCTTGTGTAAGCTGCTTGAAGTCGCGAAGAATTGCCATGTAAGTTCGAGGGGCGGATTTTGAGAAGCTGCTTCCTCAAATCCTCTTTCGTATCCGCTACTATCAACCTTTTCTCGCAAGTATATACTCAAGCATAGATTTTTTCACAGTAACCGTACTTTTTCTCGATCAGCTCGTGTTATTTCATGTCCTTGGCATTGTATAGATCCGCAACTTCTAATATGGTATGATGCGTGACTTGCTTCTCTGGCAACACAACTATGGCGTGTTAATAAGTCACTGAAAACTACTCTTAAAAGTGGCAGCAAACTTTGTGCTGCGCACGCTGTTGCGAACCATATTCAACTGATATACGATCCATCGAAGGATAAAATGCACGCGTGGTTTGCGACGTACCCGTCGCTATTTGTTGCTCATGTCATTGAGGCCAAGCATATATCCATATCCCTTTCGGTCTATTTTTCAACTTGCCTAAAACGTTTTATGTACAATATTACCAACATTTCGCTCCGTCTTTTTGTTGTCACCACGACCCACAGATGCAGTGCTTCCGCTTTTCTATTTCTTCACAGCTTTCTACATCGGGTTATGAGGCTCTCTGTGGCTGGCAGCATCTGTTAGGCGTCAGTCTGATGGATTCATTAGACCAAAGAAATATTGGCGTACTGCATGTTACGACGAGCTCCTTTATCGAAGAAATCGACTGTTGGATGTGTCTCATGCGGATCACTCGTTCTGCGTTGGCGTTACTCGGTTACGAAACTTCCTCCACTGGAGACACGAGGAGCTCCTGGACTCCCATTTCTTTACTATTGTACGAGCAGAATGTCCCAGGGCTGAATGCACTTGCAAACATGGACCAAACTTTAGAAGTTACGAGTGAGTTTCACTCTGCTTCATAATCATTTACTCAACTCATATGACTGCTTTTATTCAACGCTGTCGCCCTCAATACTGACACGTCTTCCGATGGGTCAGCACCCACGTTCTCATGAAACCTGCCCGTCTTTGAGTTTGGACACAAAAACTTGGCTACCACTTCTAGACTGGGCTTATTCCAAACATATTACATCCCGCCTGTGGGGTAGCTCTGTGTGTGTCTAAGTCTCATCAGGTTGCTTTTCTCATTATTATGCTTTGTGATTGTCGCTTCCGTCACATCTCTGTGAAATCAGTGTCCGTTTTTTGCTAGCTTGTAGACAAAGTTCTCTCTCTCTCTGTAACCCGACCGGATGAGTTCAGGCGTGTGTCTGCAACGCTGTCCTGATCAGCATTGCCAATTGTATAAAATCAGCGGGCAGTTTTTACTGTGCATACATTGGATTTGACATGTAAACTGTCTACTTTTTATCCATTGTCTGATGCTGCGATGCCTTTCTTTACCCTGCCATATCAATCCTCCTGTCAACTACTTTCAAAGAGTTTCTATTTTCGCAAACGGCATCCTCCAATCTCAACGACGTTGCGTATCGTTGTCCCATGTGGTCACCCATAACCTTTAGGTTCGTGTGTGTGTGTGTGTGTGCATTACCACCATTTAGCTCCGGCACTGTCCAGGTGACTTCCACAAGCACGATAATTCCCACAGCTAACACATGGTGATGTAGAATTAACGTTAACGCACATCACATTCATTTATACTAATTAAAATTTTCACCTTCAAACGTATCAGTCGTTGATCGAGTGGTTCAGTCATCTGGCTTACAACTCACAGGTCACTGGTTCGAGTCTATGGACAACTCCAAAGTGTTCGTGGTCCGTGTAGTATGCTTCCGGTTGAGGGTTCCGTGGGCTACCGTGTCCGTGGCGTACGTGGGTCGTATTAGACCGAGGTGGCTGAAAGGCCATATAGGTACTTCATAGGCGGTTGGACCGTTACATCACAACCATCACCACGGATAGAGCGGGTGCCTTTGTTACACCTCGTGGCGAGCTGGACGGTATTGTCACGGTCGCTGATGGAGGACCGGGCGTGAGGTGACTAGATGGATATCGTGAAAACACGCACCGGAGATATCTGCTCTAACGACGACACCAAAGATGAAATGGGAAAGCAAAAAGCAGTGGAAACGACAATGGCATTCAAGACTATGCCCGACGACATCTTACTTGTTGGCTTGCTACTGCGATACTCTGAAGCGTCACAGTCTGCACGCGAATGCTACTGATGTCGGCGTGGAACCGAGGCGTTGGCACGTACTGCTGATGCCGGTAGTGATGCTGGATCTGTAAGTCGATTTCCAAGGAAGCGCGGCAAAGCATTCGGCTACGGTTAATTGTTTTCTAGTCTGCAGCGGTCAAATGCTAAACTACCATGAGACAGTCTGCCGATATTTTCCACCCTCACATTCGTTTCTGCTTCACTGAACTAGACAGATTGGTACTCCACACGAATGTAAAGTGGCAAGGTATCGTTGTGGTTTGTATAGACGTTTTGATAAGACACCAGAGCCGTTCACCGAATTCCTGCAAACAACTGATCTTTTTCCCCCTGTCGTACGATGTTCTTTGTGTCTTACTTGGCATGCCATATTTCTCACCGAATCTCTTGTCCACTATAGTGACCTTGCCAATGTTGTCTCTACTGGATCGCTTAACACAACAAAGCGGAAGGCCATTTCAATACCTTATTCTGCGGCAATCAGTCAACATAAGTAAACTGGTGAGAAACTCTTCACTGCCTTGCTTTTTCTAGTCTAATTATTGATCGAACAAAGTGATCTGATTTCTTCCCCGCCGCTTGACCCAAAGGTACTGTTTGGTTGCGGTCTGTCATCCGGCAACTCAGCATCGGTCATGCCGGTTGTGAAGTTAGTAACGTGGTAGAACTCACTTTCTTACCATTGGTCTGTTCACTTAACAGCGCTACTACTTCTTATAGCTTCCCCACCGCCGAATTTTCGTCGGTGCTGTTTTCCTTTTCTCCCAGTACTTTCTCCACTTCCATTTTATCCACTTTGTCGCCATGGCGACTTGAGCACTGTCGACAACATCCACTGCCCATCTAGACTCCGAGATTAGGTGCCTGACTGAACCCATAGGAGCCGTGATTTCAAAATCGCCTAGTGTTTCCACACACAGCTCGTTTACGTTTTAATTACCAGTCTTACTGGAAAGATTGTTCTACATGTCTATACAGATGCACTCATCGACTCGTGTCATCTTACTAGTCAACTCAAGTCAGTGTAAGATTTTTATACCCAAATGGGTGCATTTTCAACATTTTACATTATCGACTGTAAATTTACCAGTTACCAATAAAATGCTAAGTTTACATTTGGGTAGAAAAGAGAGAAAGATGCATTGTCGTAGACTGGTCGAGCAACGATCCCAAAATACCGGACTGAATCTTCAGCATTTGTATCCATTCAAAACGGAAAAGCTTTCATCAAAATTTTTCCTCAGCATACGTTTCAATTGATGGAAAATTTTTTGTCCAAAGACAGTAGATATACTCAAAGTTGAATAGAGTAGAGGGTCTCAGTAATGTTGGAAGTTGCTTGAACAACATGTCTGTCAGTTTCTTCTTGCAAAACTGAGATATATACGGTAGATAATGTAAAAAAGGTGTTTGGTGAAAAAGACAACGACCGATATATAGGTCCCGCTGTTTTCATATAAAGTTGGACTACTAAAATATCATCTTCACTTCCTTCGGCTGTATCAGTTGCTCTCATAACGGCTAACACTCACACCGTCAACAAACGACCTGCATGCCAGTCGGTTCAGCAAGGACATGGGATTTGGTTGACAGGCCGTCATTCTTCTGATATCCCGTTCTGTCACTTGAGGCATATGTCGTCTAGAAGGAAGAAAGCACTGTATAGTGCCGTGCATTCTCCGTTGATGCTCTCGTGTGTATCTGAATGATTCCGTGGGTGACTCTTGATGCATCACCCACCGGTACATCCGTCAATCTTCCACTTTACTTACAGTAAACAAACTTGAAAAAACTGTTTGTGCACAACAAGAGCCCATACTGAAGCAACCGTTGTATGTGCACGGGTTGTGATATATCGTAATATCAATGTGGACCGCGGCTCACTTTGTATTGAACCTCGTGTAGGTTACCGGATCAAGTTTGCATGTTAGATTTTCGCATTGCTGCGTTCTACAGCTGGTTTTGTACTCTCGTTTGCACTCGCCAAGCAGAGATAGCAAGACTGCGACTTTAGTCGGACTTTGGGGCGTCGGCTCACGCAAGCAGTACTTCAAGTGTCCCCTCTCCCACCACTCAGCCATTGAAGGTTTTGACGAGTGTTACCCACCGCGACTGGTGAGCTTTGTGTTAGAGGCTTCGGTCGCCCCCCCCCCCCCCCATAGGCCCTGTGTTCGAGTGCCTGCTCTCTCCACCTAATGTGATCAAATGAAGTCGAAACGCGTCGTGGTATTCAGTGTTGCGAGTGGACAACGCTTAACATTTTACTATCAGTGTTGCATTTCAGTGAGCCGAACAAGGTTTATATCTTCCTGTTTTCTTTTCGAGGTCACGCGGTGTTTGGCACAACTGCTCAGTGGAAGTGGAAACAATCGTGAGTTCCCCATGGCGCAACTAGATGTGCGTGTGTTGTGTAAAATGCACGTGCATACAGTTCACCAGTACCCAATTTTATTTACTCTCATCTGCATCTTTCCTACTTTTGCTGAGTTATGTGACCGGAGGATAGGGGCCTACCCATCTGTCATAAAGTGATCTCGGTCTTCTGCGCCTTACATATGGTTTTTCGAGTTCACTTTTTTTTACCATTGTCACCTCTTAATTGTAGACGAACTATAACGATAGTGAACAAACAAGTGTGAAGCTGAGTCCATATTTGGCCCAGATCCTATGCATGTACTGGTAATACAATGCTCTTGCATTGGCGATGGGAAGTTGTGTTTTTATATATATTTCTGTGTTTGACTCCAAGGTAGAAGGCATTGGTTTACTTTGAGGATATTGTAAACACTGTGGGTCATTTACATTGCTTGGACTTTTGGTATTTCACCTATTAGACGTTTTCTGGACCTTCATTAAATAGATCAGCAAGTGATTTCCCCCACTAACGAAATGTAATCGTGTCCAACTCGAAATAACTTCCCAGCTTACTACGCAATGACTGCACACTCCCACACGAACTGATTGTGATTGCGAGCCGATTCCACATAGCAGTATTCCTGCTTAGAAAGAAGCTAAACCGCAAATTACCCTGCATCGTGGTATAATCAAGGTAAAGTCTTTGTTACGAAGGTCCTAAGTGGAATTGTGCTACAACGTTAGCGGGGATAGAGTGCAATATGCATAGCCATGAATGAGATTGTACAGCAGTATCAAGTTAGACCTTAGTCTTCGCAGCCAAACCGGATCGATGTGGAGTTGGTGCTACTGCTCTCGAAAGTTCAGAGTAGAGATTTTGCTCCATAGGTGTTTAGGAAATGACCGCTGTATGAATTATATAACTATTCTCTCAGATTCCCTCATGCTGCCACAGATTATGCTGCAATACTCCAGGATGGGACGAGTGAGGATTTTAAAAAGTTCAACTCTGGCTTTGATCGGATGCACTTTGTGAAATATATAAGCCACGGATTGTCTGGCTCAGGTTATTTAGTATTCAATCTGCTCAAACGTATCCGATTACGAGGTCGCATGTCGACAGTTGTACACACATACATTCGCTGTTCAGTATACTAGATTCTTCGGGCATCACACAGCCTCGACACTTGATCTTCGTGCTGAGAATCTCATTATCCACTTGTCGCCCCACGTCTCAGGCAAATGGACGTCATCATGAATGAGTACATAGTACATAGTACATTCTGAAGATCAACTCGCCGGGACGTCTAGGCATTACTTAATACTGAAAATGTAGAGACCTAGATAACATATATCTGTGTTACTCCATCGAAATATTGTCAGGTATACGTACGGAATAACGTCATTTATTACCGCCAACATAGTCCCGTTGTGTGGCGTTTTCTGAACTTGCGATGCGCTCTAAGCACCTGAAATTTCATGAACTTCGACACCGATTTTGCCTCGACTATTGTCTCACCTAAACTGTTCCAATAGTTCACCACTCGATACTCGAGGCATAGACTTTGATCTGTCGGCTTTAGATTGGTTGTTACGATCCTGTACCGGTGTCTACCACTGTTGCTTGAAGCACACACGCGTAACCGCAGTTTCAGGGATATTAGACATGAAATTTCCGGTGCGTCCTTATGTGGCCCACTCGAAACCGATTATACGACAGGGTGTACGGCTACGATCTTCGGACAAGGTACCCCGTAATCTGAAGATGCGTTTGCTAGCTACATACTGAACTCGTTCCATTTATTGCACCTCTCTACGGGTCATTAGAAAAAAGAGAGGTCTTTCGACTTCCGCAACTACAAAAGACGCTTCTTCACCATCTTCTCAAATACCTTGATTAGAACGGAGAGCAGACAAGTCGGTCTGTAATTGTCAACTTTGTTTAGGTCTCCGCCTTTCGGAATCAGTTTCACTACAAAGCATTTCCAATCAATCGGCAATGAATGTCCAGTTTGAGATCTGTTAAACAGGTCAGTCACGCAAGACGAGATGATGGCCGATAGACACTTGAGAATCAGTGAGTGAAGTTCGTCAGGATCTGTAAGCTTCGTGCCACCAAGACTAGCCAGTAGATTGCGTAATCTTCCTTACGCTAATCCAGATTGTCGTGTTCGGCAGGTGCCGTACACATTGAAGTCCGTGTAGCCGTATGGTTAGTTGTAGATGCGGAACCAAGGTGCTCATTCAGTGCGAACGCACGCCCAGTGCTGCAAGTTAGGGTTTGTCCGACCGAGCCCTCCTAACACTACTACGTCAACTGCAGGCCTTAGGCACCGCTTCACTTAAACACATCTCATTCTTCGGGCCGTCTTCGCTGCGGGCGCAAGCTGTTCTTCAAACTGCCAGTGCCTCTTCACGTTCACGCTGTTGCATGACTTCTGCTGCCCCTTGTACCTCTCTTAATCTTCAGCACAGCTAGACAGGAGGGTCTATTCAATAGTGCGCCTCATCGTCGAGCTAATTAACCATACTCTGTTAAACCAGTGTGGTTTCACTAGTTCAACTTTTAGGTATTTGAGGAGTACAATTTGAACCACTTTTATAGCACCAGCAAGCTTCAACAGATGGTGGTGATTGCGTGGCAACGAAGCGTCGGTACGGCATACTGCTGATGTCTTCGCCTGTCAGTGACCGAAAGGATAGGCGTCTCCTTTGCAAACGAGACGCCACCGGGAACCGGGCGACATTAGCAGTATGCTTAGACCGCACGCGACTGCGGCGCATTCCAACCTAATACTGATGCGTTCTTCCTTTATTTAAAGCCAGTATCGGCATTGTGATGAATACTTGCCCCTCCCACGAACGTAACTGGAAAGCTCGGCTTCACGCGGAATTCGCTGCATCTGCTCTCGTTTATGCAGCTGCGTAGGTCGTTACGAAGATGACTAGCGTGAAGCAACACATCCAAAGGGACACATGTTGAAGCAAAGCTGATCTTGCACCTTCCAATGTATGGGACAACAAACCGAGTTGAAATCGAAAGTGCTTCCAAAGAGGTGTTAAATGCACATGGAATAGCACTAGTGACCAGCATCTATGTTGCTATCGGATCAATGCACAGAAAGTTCCCATCTATACCTACTTTATCACTTTCGGATGATTTTTAATTATTTTGCAAGTAAATAACAACAGCATTATCTTGGCAGAACGTTTGCTGACTATATATGCAGTCTGTGTGTACGTCTAATGTGATTGCCTTCTGTACCACTTAAGTGTCAACATTTCTACTTCTGTACTGCTGTTGGCTACATAAGTGGCATTTGATGGCGCCATTTTAAAATAACATCAGAGATTTTCTGAACAACAACAGGTTCAATTGTCTGTGTCGATCCATTGCATGATGTGTTAAGTGTTGCTGTATGGGTCCACATGTCCTCTACAAGTCAGATCAAATCAAATCCAATATAGACTTTATGTATTTTCAGTGTTTTATTTGGTCGATTACAGTTTGACTAAAATGAAAGATGAAAAAATTAGGATTTAATGATGCAACAATTCCGGGGTTATTCAATTGCGTTTGTATTTAATAGTGATCATACTGCTGTCGTCCAGCAAACTAGTATATCATCAAGCATGTGACGCATTTCCCAAACTCGTGCTATTACATTGTGGAGATAACTACTGTCACAGAGCATATTGTGACGTCCAGCGACGGAGTTCTATGACCAGGTTGTGATACAATCCTGTTGCTGTTTTCCTTCCCATTCTTGAACTTTTTTGGGCTCTTTAGAGTTGACATCATCTTTGCCGAACAACCTCTTCGTGGTGCCAGCTGGGTGGTTCGCGTTTATCCCGTTCAAACAAATAGTTCGGCGGCAGTGTTCCAGAACGTGGTGGGTTTTCGCCTGGCAAGCATTCTCCCTATTAGAAGCCACATATGTCCGTTTAACAACACTGCAACGTGACGATATGACCCACCACTTGACAAAGTCACTACCCCTTGCTTCACTCCGGGGAAGCATTATATCCGGCGACGCGAAGCTAGAATTGCGGAGAGGATTGGGCTTCTGTTTGTCAACCGACCAAACGCAAGATGTATGAACTGAGCAGTCAGTCACCGGCTCCCAATGGGCGCGATTCCCTAAATTCGCCTCTCTGCCTTTTGGGTTGGCTATTTAGCCAAAAGCTTGGGATGATGTACCTTAAGTCAACACCCTACTTCGGCTTGGGCAACCGGGTAATATCGCACCCTCTGACTAAAACGTGGATTTCTCTGTGTTGTGTTCGGTTTTCTTTTATGACAAATGTACCTTCCTTTGATTTCCACGGTTTTTGATGGCTCTTTGTCTGTTCGTAGACTGACACAAAAATACCGTTCAACCTGCTATGGCGACCACCTGTCTATAGATACCAGCCAAAAACACCCCCAATGTTTTATCCTACGAGTAATGTTCCTATTTATGAATCTGCATATGGAGACCACCCGTCCAAAGCGGCCACTTTTTGCCGGTCCCTTGGGTGGTCGTCTTAGACAGGTTTGACCCTACATCAACTGTGACCACCTGCATTCCCCACAGTAGTTACACATATCCATGTCCTCTGCATAATCATAACCATCCATCGCCCTCACTGACGTTTAGGTTTTCCAGTTTAGAAGTCTTCGCGTTTCAGGTAAGATGAGATGATTTGTCCGTTCTCTTGCTTTTTCAGAAAAGAAGAGCAAGGTGGCCCCCACTGGGTTGAAGGTGGGTGAGCAATCCTGCGATTTCAGTTTTCAGTCTACCCTGATCATCTAGCTATTCACAGTAAATTTCCCCTGCTATTACATTCAGAATATCTAGGCTGTAGTATAGTGCATCTTTTGATGTTAATTGCTTCGTTTCCCGAGTGTTTCAATGTCACATTTCATACGGATGCTACGACAGGCCATGTACGTTCCGATGTCTTTCATCTTGGCAATTTGCATATATTGAGACCGCCTACTTCCACCTAACTAGTTTCCGATTTAATCGTGAGAAGCGTCATTGTAGTGTATCAACTCCTTCTCCCATGTTTTATCACAAGGCAGTCTCATTGCGTCAAATCTGCAACGCAACAACACGTGTCTTGCAGCAGTTGTTTGTTGTCCCTAAGTACACTCCATAGGTGAACTTTTGTCTGACATTAGTTTTGACAATGGTCTTGCGACCAAGATAGCCATGTTCTCATCACAAGTGACTTCACTGTTCATGATCTGGTATTCCCGGCATCCTCCAGTGCGCAGTTAAAGGTTGACCTGCAAGAATTTATTGCAAACACTCCGCTCTTCAACCATGTCGGTTCGCTCACCCTATTCAGAACGGAAAATAAACCATCAGTACTTGATTTGGTATTCAAGGACCAGCTCATGATGGATAAGCCAATGTTCAAATCTCCTCTGGGGTCGAGTGGACACGTTCCCGTACTTCATGACTATATTTGTTCCACAGAGTATCAGCAGCAACACAAGGACTCCTTTGGTTCAGTCACGCACTACGACATACCCATCTGTGCGTTTTCGAATGATGGTTCGTTTGGTAGTATCTGGATGAAATTTGTTGGTAAGCTCAGTGCCCTGTCCACATCCGCATCGGAAATCAAGCCCCACCATTCATCTGGAGCAGAATACAAAAGCACATGACGGTTAAACATGCAACGTGGCGTGTATACAGAATAAATAAATGGTTCATTTTCTCGATAGTGTGAGGCACGCCTAAATAGGCATGACCATGGTAATAGCAACACGAAAGATTGGTAGTTGTACAAATATGTTACAAGTGAACCATTTGCAAACTGGATTTATCTGCGTATGTAGGTACGTGTGTAAATGGCCTCATGCTGAAGTTGCTGTTGCATCATACTTCATGCTACTTCACTGTAGTTAGGCCACACCAACTTACACTTCAACTAGATCTTCCTAACCTGTATAAAAAGTATTCCACTTTATTTGATTGGCTCAGTTCTGTTATTCTCCTGCATATTCCATGTCAATTTTGCGTGTTTATTTTCCATGTGTTTATTTTCGATGTTGGTTGCTTGCTAACCCCGATGTGGCTGCGTTTGGTGTTGAATGAAATTGTTAATCTAACGCTCCATGTTTGATCGCGTCTCCAGTGCGGGAAGGGATAACAGGAGCTCTTCGAAGGGGATTAATAACTTCCGTCGAGAAGGTAGGATCATCTTGATTGGCAAGAGACGATGACTTTATTTACTGTCGAGTCACATCCTCCACGTCGCAGTGTTGTTAAACGGAGGTTTGTGGCTTTATATGGAGAGAACGCTTGCCAGGCGAAAACCCATCACATCCTGAAACACTGTCACCGAACCATTCACTAGAACGAAATTGATGCGAACAACCGAGATGGCGTCACGGAGGCAAAACTGTATAATGCAGCGTCATTGTACCACATTTGTCCGTGAGGACAAATTGGTACACCAACGGCGCCTAACGGAAAGATTTTGTGCTGATGACAAACTTCTGTACAAGCATGTGAACAACCTCCGGAAAGTGGAGCTTGGCGTACCCTAAATTACCTCAACAGAAGCATGTGCTCAAACTGCCGAGGATGTAGCCAACGCTCTACGGCTGCAATATGCTCTAACGTTCCGACGCGCCCCCTTCCCCAAGACACCAGTGTTTACACACGTCACTTAGTTCAGCGACTGTTTCGAAGAAGGTGCTATCATTGTGCACCAACAGTTCCCCCAAACTCACTGCAGGTGGCAGCTGCAGGTGCCATCAACCCGGTTATTTCAACGGTGTTTGGATGAACAGCAGGTCCCCAACATGTGGAAGCAGGGTATCATCACCTTGATTTTCAAGGCTGCTAGCCTTTCGGAACACGCCAACTATCGCCCAGTGATTCTCTTCACAGTGCTCTCAAAGCTAATGGGGCCTGTATTTGTTGATTTAGGAGCATGGCACTGAAGCAACACAACTTTTGTCAACATTATTCATGTATAACCAATCCATTACTTGTACCGTGGTATTTGGACCGGAATGGCCGTTGGTGACGCCAGAAATGATGTCATTTAGCTGGACCTTTCTAAGATTTTCGACCACTTAAATCACCGCGTCCTTATCCATAAACTGCAACTTTACGGAATTGAGGATCTTGTCGTTGCATGGATCGGAAACATCCTTCTTCAACTGTGGCTGATGGTGCGGGTTCGGGGTTCATTGTCCGATCCTATTGAGTTGGACTGCGGTGTTCCACAAGGATCAACGTTCGGGCCACGCTACATTCTTTGTCTTCATTGACGTTCCCGTGCATGTCATTAAGTCGAGCTTCTTGCTTTTTGGCGGCGACTTTAGTACATGACGGACCATCGGTAATCAGAGGGCTTGTTTGCATTCGTTACGCAGAGGTAGGAGGACTGCGACTCGAACCCTGAACCTTTGGGATGTTAGTCGAAGCCTTTACCATTAAGCCACCATGCAACGCTTGTCACAACAGTTACTGACCATGTTAGAGATCACCTTGCAACACTCTTTGTCTGCTTGGATTGCTTTGCACAATCTCACTGCGATTTGAGATTAAGGTTGCAGTGAGTTTTGGTCAGTTCCGCCGCTGAGATCCTATTTGAAGCGGACAAATGTTGTGTAGACAAGTTACGACACGTGCTGTCATGAAACTTTGTGGACGCTTTCGGTGAATTCAAGTGCAATGGTTGTCTGTGACCACTAGACCAAGGTCCTTCCAAGACCTGTGATGTGCTAAAACCTTGAAGTTAGCTACAATCTGTTTGTAAGCACACAAAGGACGTAACATACGTCGGAAATCCAAACCAAACGTGATCCTCGAAATATCAGGCAACCTATGGGCTTTCATCATTGTCTTTTTACCTCACTTGGATCTTTTTCTTCACAACCGCCCAACACTTCTATGCTGTCGGTACATAATCATTATCTTAATTTTAGTGCCAGTTTTTACTCACCGCGCTGTTGGCTTTATGCAATTGAAATGTGGCAAATTTGAACAGTAATTCCGGTTAAGCTATCACACATTATCTAATTTACCAGGGCTTCATATTCCTCCATTTGACGCCTGCTGCAAACTGTTATCTACCTCCCAGTGTGCTCCAAGTGTCGTCGGCATAGAGCCAGAAGTCCCTCAACTAGTCGGCATTGTCCCCTGCACTGGATGAGCGATTGTTTTGTTGGGTTTCCTTATTGTTCTCACTCATTATCTAGCTGAATGCATACGAAGACTTCCATGGAGCTGCCCTACTGTAATTCTCTTCAAACTCACAGCTATGTCCAAGAATTACTTTTCATCGCCTGTAGGTACTTCCAAACTGTCGATTCTAACCCGTAATCCTGAGACACCACCAAACGTACCGAATCAACATGCATACCTCGATCTGATTGAAGAGGCATTACTGATTTGTGTCGCCCCACTTGAGTGGGAAGACCAACTGAACACGCGTCTGTCGTCCTTAGCTATGGCGCTCGATGAAGCAACTCGATACACCTGCTTTTTTATTGCCCTTACCATATCGATTTGATGTTTCAGGCTTAAAATCGCCTGCACACTAAATTTCACCGGTTACAAGGATAGAGCACCGTTTGTTTACCTGACATCTCAGACAGGTTGTCGGCTGGGAGAATCATTTTGAACGGATTGCGACGCGCAATCTCAACGCGGACTGCGTTTCTTATTGAAGTAAGCAGTCTAATCAAATACTGGGACCATAACTGATGGAACAAGTGGCTTAGGGGTAAAAGTCTCTATCATTTCTATCTGATGAGATCAAATGAGATCGAAGCACTTGATGAGGTGCAGTGTTTTCGGACGCGTAGCACCCAACATCTACCAATTTCAGTTTGTCGGATATTATTCTTTCTGTTCAACGGCTTCAGACGGCTTTAATAACATAGTGTTTGAAGGTGAATTCGGTGGTTAACTATGTATCCAATGGTGAGCTGAGACAGTACAACCAGAGGGATGTGCATACTCATTTCAAAATTTCATGTTTTATCTATTAGGGACCTGCTATGAGATTACCTCGGGGTTTCTCTCAGAACCTGAGGTAAATTTGCACACAGTCTACGCGATTAAGTTGGATGAACTTCCGCAATTTACTCTACTCCACGTGGTCCGCAAACGGACCAATCATCTTCACTCGTCCCGTTCACTTTAAGAACACATGCTTTCCATTGTACATAGGAACCCTAAGCAAGTAGCAAAGGGTCCACTTGTGCGGTTCCTTCGGAGTCTTGATTTAGCGAAGTCTTTTTGTGGTTGTGTCTATGATCTCTCCACTCGACGTCAGCTCGTATTACTGTTCCTATTTCTCTGTCGACCCATGAGTTCCCTAAACCTGGCTGCCTGATCATAAACCACTCAAGGTAATGGTCTTCCTGGAGTGCCCCTAGAAAGACAGATCCTTCCACTTGTCTACTGACCACGCCATTCTGATACTAAAGCAACGATGGTTGCGATCATAGAGCGGTTTGAGAATGTGGCTTAGTAGACGAAACTCCGCCAACAAATTATGTTTCTCTCTCCAAGAGACCGAGTCTTCTCATGGTACAGTGATTTGCGTTTCACATTCATCCACTGGGATGCTCTGGGTTACACCTTCTATGTGCCTTGGGGGTGACTCATATAATACAGTTCATCCGTACTCATTCTAAGCGTCGATCCCATCGGAGGTTGTCCGGAGGGCGATGGTGCTCTTCTCTCAAAACTAAGCCACAGGAGATAACAGTCTCAGAGTTATG